TATATATATATATATATATATATATAATTACGTGATGAGACCATTGCATGTTAAATCCCTCGTTAAAATATTAAGTTAGTATTATTTGCCTTCCATCATTATAGTGAAAAACAAGAATCCTAAATAGACCTCAACTTGTTGAGTACACTCAAGACTAGTCTATTAGGGATATGTTTGACATTATGAAATATTTGATATTTCTGAATGATGGATTTTGACTTAACTAAAATTTATCCTTTGTTGAGTACACTTAAGAAGATAAATTTTAGAGACATATTAAGTTAACACATAAGATGTGTGAAGAAAAAGAGTTGTTAACTTAATGATCTGGGAGTTGTATGGAGATACAATTAATAATAGTATCTACCCAGATATTTTATTAAGATTTGTTGAGTACACTTAAGATCTTGATATAACGAATGGGATCCCAGCCCATTGGGAATCAAATGTGGATTCCAATAATTTATGTATGAGGGTCATGAATTTACTTTAAACAGTGGGAGCACGTTTAATTAAAGTTCATATTGAATTGTGCAAATGCATTATAATACATATTGATTCTATATTTTTCGTCATTTACAGTTTTTGAATCATGAGTAATCATATGAATTTGAGAGGCATACTGGATGCCAACAAACTCACCGGACCGAATTTTCTCGATTGGCACTGTAATTTGAGAATTGTTATCAAGCATGAGAAAATTATTGACCTAATGGTTGACTTCTTGTTTTGATTATCACAAACAAATTGCGTTTAATTCTAACAAATTGAATTTCAGTGATTATTGCAAATTTATGACACGAAAGATCTATTGAGAATCATGCAACCTTGGCACAAAACGACAAACACACACGCAAGATTAAAGATTTACGAACGAGAAAATGGAAATCGAGCTTTCACGCACAAAATCGCATTGGATGAAGAAATTGAAAACATTAGCTATAGATGCATTTCTATACTCAAATGTAAAGGTAAAACACTTTAATATTTTGCATCGATTATAGCTCAAACAATTTTTATGTACGAGAATTATCATGACAAACTTTACTTAAATAAAAATTATTTTTAAAAGATAAGTAATTTGATTTTTCACAATTAAATCTTTATGAAATTACTTATCTATACGAAGTATATTAGAAAACCCTACATGTACCTTAAAGAACATTTTTCACGAAAAAGAAAAATTCAATGGGCCTAGACATCCTGATGGGGTCTTTCAGACGTCCGGATGTGGTGTTCAACGGTTGGATTTTTTACCGTTTGGCAAACGGCTAGTTAACCTCCGAACACCAAGCGAACGTCCGAATCAGTTGTCCGGATCTCCTGATTGATGGCTATAAATACCTCTCTTTATACCTTTTTAAAGCAAGAATTCTAGAGCATTAAAGATAGTTATTTATTGATCTTATCTATCTTGTTTTTTCAATCTTTAAGAGATCAAAATATTTATTTGTTGAAAATTTTTTTGAGTGAGTAACTTTTTGAAAAAAATCATATATCTCAATAAAAGTTTTTCACACAACACTTGAGCTATATTCTTTGTAATTTAAGTGTTGTGCCTAATTCTCTCTTAATATTTAGTTGTGTTCATATCATTTGTTAAAAGAAAAACTTCTCAATTGTAACTTTGATTTTCTTGTTCATTAAATTGTGGGTCGAGTTGAGGTCCCGGAAAGCTCAACGTGTAAAAGGATCGGTACTCCTTAGTTGTAAGTCACCGGAAGCGTTGTAAGGGTTGGATTGCATCATAAGTCAATCAAAGATAGTGAAAAAAGGCCTTGCTCGTGACGGAGAGCTCGGTAACGGGGGACGTAGATCGTGATTAGATCGAACTTCCTTATTACATCGTTTGCACTCTCTTTTTCCTTCCTCTTATTACTTTTGTGTCGTCGTTTATTCATAGTTATTTGCTTAAATTTGCGTTTATTTTCGAAAAAGTTTCAAATAACCAATTCATCCCCTTCTTGGTTAGTTGTTCTTGGGCTTTCAATTGGTATAAGAGCTTGGTACTCCTTTTTTTAAAAGATTCTACAATCTTGAGTAATGGCTAATCAAGTCTTTCAAAATAGTGAGGGGCACTCTACTAACCGGCCTCCTTTCTTTGATGGTACACATTAAAACTATTGGAAGGCTAGGATGATGATATATGTTCAATTTATTGACTACAATATTTGGAAAGTTATAGAATATGGTCCATATGCTCCCACTAAGACTATTAAAGTAGACGGTAGTCTGGATCAAACTCTCCCCAAATCTAGAGAAGAATACGATGATGAAGATAAGAGAAAACTCTCATTAAATGCCAAGGCTAAAAATCTACTTTATTGTGCACTTGATAGAAATGAATTTAATCAAATTAGTACATGTGATTCGGCATATGATATTTGGTATGCTCTTGAAGTTACTCATGTTGGAACAAGTAAAGTTAAGGAAACAAAGATAAATATGCTAGTTAAAGAATTTGAAGATTTCTTTATGAAACAAAACGAGTCTATTGTTGACATGATTACTCGTTTTATCGACATTGTAAATGGTCTTAAAGTTTTTCATCATAAATTTACTAACAGTGAACTTGTGAGTAAAATGCTTAGGTCCTTATCAGAGGAATGGAGTCCATTGAGGACGTTGATCGAGAATACTAAGGATGTAAATACATATCCTTTGGAAGAGCTCTATGGCACATTAATGACCTATGAGCTAAATAATGCCGAGATTAAGGAGAAAATGAGAAAAAGCAAGGAGGAATCAAAGAAGCCTCCTAAATGACAAATTGCATTAAAATCGGCAATTGAAGAAGGAACGTCAAATGAAAATATGAGCGATGAAGAGCTTGATAATTTGGTCCTTCTTGTAAAAAAAATGGAGAGGTTTTTGCAATAATCGAAGATTCCAAAAAAAAAAAAAAGAAAAGGGGGGAAGAAAGGAGCAAAAAGATCATTTGTTATGATTGTGATAAGCCGGGTCACAAGAGAACCAAATGTCCCAACAAAAAGAAAAATTTCAAGAAAAAGGCACTCCAAGCCTCATGGGATGATAGCGACAACGAAGAACAAAATGGGAATGATAATGAAGTGACAAATATGTGCTTCATGGCAATCGAAGATGAGGTATTTTCTTATGATGAACTTTCAAATTCATATGATGAAATGTTTGAAAATTTTGAAAAACTTGCTTTGAATCATACTATCCTTAAAAAGAAAATTTTTATTTTAAAAGAAGAGATTAGAAAAGAAAAAAGAAGATATTGATCAAAATCTCTTGATAAAAGAAACATTTCTTTGAAAAAGAAAATTATTGACTTAAGAAACATTATTCATAAATTTACCTGAAGGTAAGAAAAATTTTGATTTGGTAGTCAAAAGTGCGTTTTTGATAAAG